AGGAGTAAAGCGAGGCACAAAAAAGCTCCTAAGAGAAGGGGCTGCTGACTGGAGAATGGAATTCACACAGCAACTGCTAAATTTAATTGAGATATTATTAAAAACACATTTGTTTTCAGAGGGATTGGGAAGCATGGCGGAGAGTGAAGGGTGAGTTACAGAATAGCAGAGGGCAGCAAGGCTCTTTGTGGCTCCCCTGTGAGCTGGGAGGACAGCCTTGTAAAGCATGTTTGCCATGAGAGCAGGGCAGAGAAGGTCCCAGAGAAATGCTGGAGATGGCCTTGAGGTAGATGACAAAGCTGGGAAGCCCCTCAACCTAAAGCAGCAGAACGTGTGTTTTTGGAGGCACCTCACTCACTCAAAGGGCTTGAAATGGTTTTCATTTCTCTCTCTGATGGGCCAAAAAACACGGAGAAAAGCTCCCTTTGAACTCGGGGAGCACAATCATGCAGGAGCCGTTGAGAGCAAGGCAGAAGGCAAATCCTTCCATGGTGCAGTAGGACCAACCAAAAGCAACGGGCTTCAGCCGCGGTCACCCTTTGTGCTGGAGCAGCTTGGCCTCTGCCACAAAGGCAGATGAGGCAACGTCCTGCCCTCCCCGCTCCCAAGCGCAGAGGAAAGGGCAGACGGGTGTCTGCGTGTTAATGGGGCAAAGGGAGGGCTGAAGCAAGAGGAGGAACTGGGGCACATGTCCAGCTGCAAGCTCCAGCAAACTGCTAATTTAAACTGGAGATTATTCTGCTCCGTGGTGGGCAAGTTTGCTGGTGTGGCAGGATGGATCAAGCCGAGGTTTCCGCTGCGCTTCGGCTCTGTAAATGTGCAGTGTCTATGGAGCGGCCCTGTGGATGGGTGCCCCTCTGGCAGTGTGTCCGGGAGAGGCTTTAAACTGCGCATGGACTTGGACATCTCGCGGTGTGCGAGCGCTTTGACCGTTTCCAGGCCACAGGGTGGGACAGTGGGCACTGCAGAGGTCTAAAAGGTAGAAATGCAGCGAGTGCACTAGTCCTCGTGCTGCATGTGGGGAGAGACGGGGGCTTCCGCCGCGTCCGATCTGCAGTGACCGGAGAGCGTCTTCCCTTGTGCCGTTTTGCAGCTCCGTGGCTGCGGGAAGGAGGTGACCTGGTCTCACTGCAGCTCCACGCAGAAGCACAGACAAGAGGGAGCCCGACCTGGGGCCTGAAGAAGCTGCTGTGGAGCAGGGACAGGGCCCCTCGATGCTGCCCTCAGCGAGCGCCCAGAGCTCCCTTCTCCCCACACGGTGCCTTGCTGTGCGGAAAGCGGCTGGGATTGCAGAGTTGGCTTGGCTGGATTCCTGGCTTCCAGCCGGATGGAGCCTCCACGTCTGGTGCTGCTGGCCCCGTTTAAGTTTTGATGTCTGGATTGCGTTGGGGTGATGTAACGCCGGAGCCCAGAGCATGACTCTATGCAAAGTCACACGGAGCAGAACGGGAAACGCTGCCAAGTGCCGCTGTGAAGGACGTGAATGGGTTATGGAGAGGGGAGGGAACTACGTAGGTAGCATCAGCTGCTGCCATCTGTGAAGCTGATGCTTTCAGCTACACATTTGAGAATCAGCAGAGCTACCCTGGATTTGCTTTGCTGCAGAATATGAAAGGGATTGAAAGGGAAGAGTGAGGAAAGTATGAGAAGATTGACATGATTGAACATCCCAAATGAAAAGGGTTTTGACATGCTAAGGCTATAGAAGAAAAGACGAATAACCATTAAAAGCAAGTACCTGTGATCCTGTATGTTAAAAAGAGCAATATTTCCTATGCATATTATATTACAGCAAAGCCACAGACCACAACACAGAGATAGCTGTTAAGCTTCAAAACCAAGATTTTCCTTCAAATTATTTTAACAATGTAAAAGACTCTGGAGGCTGAAATTATCTGTATTTTACCTACGTGACTTTATTGGCTATTTCACCTACAGGTGAAAAGGGCTGTTCTTTTAAGTGTATTTACTTTCATATTCCTGTGCTACAGCATTGACAGGCAGTAGGCAGATATATTTTATTCTTAGTCAGAAGAGTAAGTTCCTCCATGTTTGGAGGAACTTGTTTTTTTTAATATACTAATATACTAAGTTATTTTTTCATATACTAAACTATTAATAAACTTAAATAGCAGTTGTTTTGAGAAATAGTTTAACCCTTATAGCCAATGATTGTACGATTAACAAAAGCAAATGTGAGGCACTGTTAGCAATGGTATCTTCCTGGCCATCAATCAGTAGCTCTTCCAGTTTAGCAAAGCTTATAAAAAATAGCAATCTGTGTGATAAGGGCAGGATGGAACTATGACATTGCTGCATGTTTGTAAAGGCACATAGTTCCCACACCAGGTAGAAGTAGTAAGCGCTTATCTTCTGTGCACCAGCCACCAGAGGTCAGACGTTTAACATGATGTTAACCTTGCTCTGAGCCAAAGGTATTTTTTAGGACAGAGAAGAAAAAATCGTGTTTCAATGATAAGGGAATTATAGAAAACTCATGTCATTCCTATTTTTTTAATACTTTTTTTTTGGTCACACAAGTAATGAAAAATTGGATTTTAGATCTCTAGTTTTTGAACATGGATAAGTCTTGGTGGAGTATAGCTGCTCTGGGGATACTGATCCGAAGAAATGCTAAGCATGCACAGGCAGAATAAGCTGTGGGGAAGATCAGCAAGAGATGCATGTTTTTGATCTGACCCTGGACAATTTTATGTATTTAACAGCATGATAAATTGCAGCAGATTTTACTTTAACATTAAGTTCTAATTATATAGGGTCCACTTCAGCTTCCAGCCAGATTCAGGTCTACAAGGGTTTGATTTGGCAAATGTTGGTAAATGCATTATTTCATGTGCTCTTCTGTAACAGACGGGCATTTTCCCCCCCTAAAGTAACTGTCCCTGATTTATTTCACTGGACGTAGTGATTCCAGTGATGGGCACCCAGCTTTCTGCTTTTGCTAGGTCCAGGGTGCGATGTTGGTCATTTTGAGCCTCAACACCTAGATGGAGACCAGAGAATTTTACCAGAAGAGATAATTAGTAGCAAATATAAACCAAAGATAAAAGTGTTTTTTTGTTGTTGTTGTTCTTTTTTGCTTGTTTTTCCCCAGCAAATAGGAAATTCTTAGCAAAACTGGTTATGATGTTGTTGGACTTTTTACAGCAATCAGGATTTTTTCAGTGCCACCTTATGACAGTTGCTGGTAGTGCAACATTAAGAAAGAAAAAAGAACCCCAAACCAAAACGTATAGGGAAGTGAATATGTATTTATCATCCTATGCGCTAAGAACAGATCCTGAGAGCTTCTCGGAACACGCGGAAAGAAGCGCTGGCCTATGCCTTGTGTGGGACAGGTTGTAGGTGGTTACGGTCTGTGATGGTTACACAGGTCTAGAGGGAGTGCAGGAAAGAAAAATGTGTTTTTCTTGGAACCGGCTGCCACCAGGCAGGGGAAGTAAGATCAGAGAAATGCGGTCGCTGCCCCTTGGCATGGAGGGAAGCGCGGCTCGGACACGGGCGGTGCCTCCGCACGGCTTGTCCAGCGGGCCCGGAGGAGCA